TAGATAGATAGATATAGATATATAGATAGGTAGATAGATAGATAGATAGATAGATAGACACACACACACATATATGTATTTACTCATACATATACTTGGATTATTTCATAGTTTCTATACATTTCATGGGTAGGTAAAGATGTATTTTCAGTACTATTATGGATATTAACAAATTTATAGAGTAAAAACTAAAATGTTAAATTCGTAACGCATTTCAAAAGAGGAGAGGGTGAATATAAGCTGTACAGTCTGTAAATCTCTTTATTAATATATTATGCAATCAGCTCCGTGCAATATCATAGAAAGCTGATCTTCTTGGCGTCAGTGGAGTGTGCAAATGCAGGAATCCCCATCCTATCTATCCCATGGCTTCCTTGAGTCCCGAGAGCAAATTATCTACTTCTGTCTATTTCTTGATGCCCTCGGAGTGCAGAGAGAAAGAAAACCACTTCCTGTTTCTTGACGCCAGAGTGGAAATATTTAAGGGTTAGATAACGTTAGTCTCTACTTCCTTCCGCCAAAGCTAGTTTTGTCTGACCCTACGCTGGTTTTGTTGCCGTTGGAGCCTGTAGGGAGATGCCTCGTTAATAGTATCGTTAATATTATTGGTAACGATTATAAACATACGCTTTTTTTATCCATAAAATATCATGAGGTTTTCATTTCCTGATATTTTTTTTTCCTCATTTTAGGGAACTAATTTTAAGGCCTTAAAATTAGTGTAGTTTGCCCATGAACGATCTGAAAGTTTACAAACCCTGGCTGATCTCGAAGCGACTCTTGTTTCCATCGGCCTTCTCGTCCTTCTTCGAGTCGGTCCCGGTGGCGTCCTTGCCGAGGCCCAGGTTTCCTCTCGTGGCAGGGCGGCCTGAGGAAGCAGGGGTTTGCTAGTTTTCAACGTAGCTAATATCACACACACACACACGCACGCAGACAGACACACACACACACACACACACACACACACACACACACACACACACACACACACACACACACACACACACACACACACACACACACACACACACGCAGACAGACACGCACACACACACACACACACAGATACATAGACATACGTACAGGTATATGCATGTGTATTTGTATGACTGTATGTATGTATGTATATATGCAACATACAACATTAAACTAATTAGAACGAATAACAAGGAAAATAAAGCAAGCAAAGAATCCATTTTCCAACCCAGACAGAGAACTGACCCGGTGTTTCCTGGTTCTTGTTCTTATCTGCCTTGTCCTCGGAGTCCTTCGAGTCGGACCCGGAGTTGTCCTTCCCGAGACCTGAAGGAGTGTAGCCGGTTGCTGGTCGCTCTGGAGAGGGAAAAAGAGGTTACACAGAGTTCCCTAAGGTCAAAGTCAACTCTCTAAGTGCGATCAATGAACTACCTGTATGCATGAAGGATATAGAGACCTTTGTAAACACCATAACAACACGTTATAATTCAGAATGGTTGTCTCGGTAACTTACTTGACGTATCCTTGTCCTCTGACTTCTCCTTCTCCGTGTCGGACTTCGAATTTCCCACATTGCCTCGTGTGGCTGGCCGTCCTAGGGTTATACGCAATGTCAATATACACAGAATACACGCTTTATATGTTACATTGTGCGTGGATGACGATATGTGATTTGTAGGAGAATAACAACTTTAGGGGAACTGACCTGAGGTTTCTCGATCCTTGCCTTCGTTCTGCTTCTTTTCGGACTCAGAACTGTCCTTATCAGCACCAGAGGAGTTAAGAGTATCTCCTCGCGTAGCTGGACGTCCTAGTATCATACGCAATGTAAATATACACGGAACACACTTTTTATATGCCATGCTTGAAGAACATATTTTAACATTGTGCGCGGATGACAATATATGCTTTTTAGAAGAATAACAACTTTAGGGGAACTGACCTGAGGTTTGTCGATCCTTGCCTTCGTCCTTATCAACACCTCGTGTGGCTGGGCGTCCTGAGGTCATACGCAGTGCGAATATAGACGAAACACGCTTTATATGTCATGCAACAAATTGATAATTTAGCATTGTGCATGCATGACACTATATGCATTTTGGGAGAGTAACGATTTTAGGGAACTGACCTGATGTTTCTTGGTCCTTCTTATCGGACCCAGAATTATCCTTATCAGCACCAGAGGAATTGAAAGATGTATCTCCTCGGGTGGCTGGACGTCCTAGGGGAAGATAATAAAGCCCTATTGATCATACAGAAATACAACCGAAGTATCGCACTGTATCATAAATATCACACGTCAATGAATTTAAAGATAACTTAAAATTGTGACGATTTCAATGAGAACAGGATAACAGACCTGAAGTTTCCCTAGTTCCTGAAGCCTTGTCTTCTGTCTCCTTCTTATCTAACCCGGAATTAATCTTACTAATACCCGAGGAATTGAAACTTGTAGGTGGTCGTCCTAAGAAAAAAGAAAAGAAAAGAAAGTGACCAAATGAACGTATATGATACAGTCTTTACG